CATTTCCACATTTCCTCTTCATTTTCATTTTCCCACGCAAAACACACACACAAAAACGCTTCGTTTTTCATCCCTAATCACATTCTAGTTAGTTACCCGCTCCGGTCATGATCACCGCCACAATGCTCGGCGTAGACCTGCTTCATTTTAATTCCCGTTGCGCAGATTCTAGGCGGACGACGGAGAAACCAACGAGAGTGATCTAAACGCTCTTATATTTTTTTACGAAGGGAGTGCTAATCTAGCCGCGATGTCCGTCCACCGCCACCAGACCCAGAGAGCTGGATTTCACAGACAAGATGCCAGACCAAAATTGAGAATCACCATGCTTATATTTTATACCAGAAAGAGATGCACCTTTAGCATATTTATTTAACAACATGGATTGCCATAGTCCTTCCTCTCTTTCCAGTTTCTAAATTCATTTGGCTAATAAGGCTTTATTGAAGATATCTAGATTTATTATCCCCAAGCCTTGGGCTGGCACACCTCGCCCCATTTGACAAGATGATACTGCTTCTTATCTTTATCTCATTGCTAAGTAATCCTAGCTCTGAAAATCAGCCCTTTTCTCACTCTTTCTCAAACTAGATTGCACCAAAGCAATTCCGCTAGCAATATTTAGCATCCTACTTTATCAACAGGCACATTTATTTGCAATTATTTTTTCTCAGCAGGCTTACAATCTTTATTTCTAATCAAAGACCAATATGTGATGTGGATAATTAAAGAAAAGGCACCTGGCTCACACATTTCGAGGTGGCCGCGCTTGTTTTCAAAGACGTAAAACAACAAGAAATGGCGTTTAATTAGCTGCTCTATGGCAAGCGGGGGCATCGGTTAGGTTTTGTGTGTTGTGAGCTCACCTGGTTTCGTCGAGCTTTCAGCATCTCTATACTCCCTCCATTCTTAAATATAATTCTTTTTAGATATTCCAATACGGACTACATACGAAGCAAAATAAGTGAATCTACATTCTAAAATACATCTATATACATTTGTATGTACTTCCTCAATTCCTAAATATAAGTCTTTTTAAAGATTCCACTATCTATATAGACACCTTTTAGAGTATATGTTCAATCATTTTGCTCCGTATATATGCTATAGTGAATTCTCATAAAAGATTTATATTTAGGAACGCGGGAAGTAGCTCGTATTGAAATCTCTAAAAAGACTTATATTTAGAAATGGAGGAGTACGCGTCACTCTTTTTGGTCTAATATGAAAGTGCAGTGCTCCTGCCGTTTTCTTGATAAAAGAAAAGTAGCAGCTCATCGCCAAAGCTCACACGAGATCCAGACGTGACGGAGGTGGCTTCCCACCGCGCGCGCCGCCCCCATAGAGCTGGATTTCATACGGCGCCAGAAGATCGCACCACCAGGCCACCACCCTGGAAAGATTCTACCCTTCCACCGGAAGAAGAATTCAGGGATCGTTACTTAACCATGCACGTGCGCCGGGATCCAAAACCAAGGTTAACAAAGCATTTTGATCACTGCGGCCTGCCTGCGGGTCAGATAAAAACGCTTGTTAACTGACGGACGGAGAGTTTCATCAGGAGTGAAAGAAAGGTTGCCGGCCAGGTATCCGGACCCTCTCCACGGCTGCATGATTGATTTGATTCGATCCGGCCATCGACTTCCCGGCCCGCCAACGGGTTCCCTCGCGCTCCTCTCCTACCACCCATGGTTTCGTCACGGAGCACAACCAACGGCACGCATGCAAACGGCCCTCCGTCGTATAGTATATAACCCCGGCCCGGTCGCCTCCATCCGCACCCGAGCGAGCACGCACGCACGCATCACTCTCCTCTCCGGAGCAGCGGCGGCCGTGCCTGCCACGCGCGCGCGAGCGTACGTACACATGGGAGAAGAGGTCGCCTCCACCGCTGCGGCGCCGTCCTCGCTGATGGCCGCGGCGGCCGTCAAGGGGGACGAGGAGCGGTACGCCATGGTGGCGTCGCGGTTCTTCCGAGTGAAGCCCGGCGCCGGCGGCGCCGCTGCCCTCCGCCCCCACTTCCTCGACTCCTGCTTCCTCTGCAAGAGGAGCATCTCCCGCGACGGCGACATCTTCATGTACAGGTACGAGCAAGCTAAACTCATCTAGCGCTACCGCTGCAACCGCAGTTGATTCTCTTTTATTTCTTTTTTTTTTTGCGGGTGGATTCTCTTTTATTTCCACGGGGAGAAGATCACGGGTGATGATTCTTGGTGCTGATGCGGGCGTTGGTTAATGGTTCGTGCAGGGGTGACGCGGCGTTCTGCGGCGAGGAGTGCAGGCAGGACCAGATGGCCATGGACGAGGCGCTCAACGCGGCGGCGCGCCGGCACCGCAAGCAGGCCGCGGCCGAGCAGGCCGCCGGCACCGCGCGCCGCGAGGAGGCGGGCGCGACGGCGGCGTCGATGATGCACCGCCGGCCGACCATCGCCAACCTCGGCGCGGTGGCGCGCACCCCCGTGGCCGCCAGCTAGCAACCTATGCTCGTCGGCGCGGCGCGTGCACCATGGATCGATCTTCCTTAGCTAGATCGCTAGGAGGCTAAAAAGTAAAAACGGACTGATCATAAGTTCATAACGGAGGGTCGGCCGAATGCTAGCAAGCAAGAGCGGATAGATGTATAGTTAAGAAGACATGGATCTCAAAATGTTTTCCTGCATGTTATTGCTGCGTACGCTAAAGTAAAGTGGATCATCAGCTCTAGCTGGAGTTCATCAGTCTAGCTCTCGAGTCTTCTTCGGTGCAAGTTAATCTGAGCGTGTGTTCTTCTTCTCAATGATATGACACCCTTCTTCAACCTATGTAAACTAATCATCTTCTGCATCAAGACTAGACGTATCCTTCTCCGAGATCAGCTTATGTTACAAGAAGAATCTTACAGGACAGGAACCATATAGTAATTGGCACCAATGTGTTTTTATAATTTTCTTAAAAAACTTCAGAGTGCCTCTCACGATGCCTTGTAGGCTCTCATACATGTTCGCAATGAGACTTTTCTTGAAACAAAACTGCATAAATGTTTACATAAAAGCATCCATCATGTCGCTCTCTGATCGTAGATTCTTCACAAGATATTTACAGGAATTTAGTTCTTAGAAAGAAAACATCTACCTAGATTTTCTAAATCGTGGGAGCCGTGAACCAAAATTCCCGTAAATCAATCATTTTCATTCGGTTTGCATGAAAGTTGTTTCTTTTTGTGCCTTTACTGTGTTCTGCCAAATGGCTACTATATTACTTCATTATGTTTCAGGCTCATGCGCCAGGGAACATCTTACGTGAGTTAACTACTCCGGTCTCAGTGATCAGATCACTGAAGCAACACATCTTTCCATCTCACTTTTAGTTCTTATTACAAAGGAAAATCCGGAGGTGTAACTTTTTTCCTAGATTTGCGCCCGTCAGCATCTCAATTGGAAAACAGACATGAATGACCACCCTACTTGCCCTTTTATACAGGAGGACAACAGGAACAAGTGGCAGTAACTATCGGCGACACCCGAGCACGCCTATTGGCAAACTTTTTCCCAAGACAAAATTAAATCTTACTCCCTCCGTTCCAAAATAAGTGTCTCAACTTTAGTACAAATCTGTACTAAAGTTAGTACAAAATTGAAACACTTATTTTAGGACGGAGGGAGTACAAAGTACAAACTAATCATGCAGCATCCAGATTCAGCTACTTAAGATATTCCTGGAACCAATGACCAGAGAGAATGGGAACACATAGAAAAATAATGAACAAACACATAAATAAAGGCCATGATGGTTGATTCAATTCTACTTTAAGATATGATGGAGATAAAATCAACGGGCCATTAACAATTTCACACGCGACCTAATAAATAATCAGTAGCGACATGCCACTGGAGATATTCCAAGAGCTGGAGTGTGACAGCAAGTAAAGAGCAAAGTCATAGGGCCCTCCAAGGCATCAAGCTCACGCATGAGAAGGACAGGAGAGCCTATGAATGTTGGAACAAGTGCTTGCAAAGGAGAGGGGCAACCAGTGAGAGCGCTACGACAGCAGATTCTTCTACTACTTGGCAGCAAGGTGCACTTTATTCTATTCTACCTTCTCTTATGCAGCAGCAGTTGATGTTATCACCCTAAGGGAGGGACTTGTCACTTGTGAGTGTTCTCCATTTTGGTTTTCGACTCTGGACTCAATGACACCTTATGCACAGACAGATTTCGATGATCCTATCATACCAGTACTTTCTCAACTCCGGCGGCATATATGTAACTCTTTTTGTTAGAGCACTTGCAAATAATGCACGTGTGCAAGATGTTCAAAACCATATGGCAAATGAACTAGAAACACAATGGTAACAGAGAAAGGATGAAACAAATAAGTGCGGAGCATGGCAATCATGTCGATTCAGGATCATGACAGGGCATAAAAGAAAAAAGGGAAACGGAGAGAGCACAACAATCTCCAGCCCAGATGGAAAGATGATAAGACACAATCTGTTCAGTCATAATCGTCCACTTCAGATTTGTCCAAAAGTGCATTTAATCTAATCATAAAATTTTATATTATTCAAGCACATGGAAGATTGCTCCACAAAATGGTTATTTTCTTGGATGTTTGTATGAATATAGACTGAAGTGAATAAGCAATATGTACCTCAGTAGATCTTATAACATAAAGGCCAGGTCAAGCTGCTTCCTTGTTCAAGCTAGTTTCAAGCAGGTTCAAAAAACTGGCATGGAAGAATTATACTACTTCCTCCGATCCAAATTAACTGTCGCAGCTCTAGTACAACTCAAAGTTGTACTGGAGCTGCGACAGTAAATTTGGATCAGAGGGAGTATTAGATCTGCAACTTTGCGTCCTATGCCTGGCCCGTGAGGTTTCATTAGAAAAGATAGCTTGGATATGACAATGCTTGAATGGGCATGGTGTCTTTTCCTCTTACCTCCTAGTCGACCAGCTGCTAACATGCATCCTACAACATGTCTAATTCACTAAAACAAGAATATGCATAACAGGTCAGAAAATTAGATGCCAAAAGGTACTTCAGAATGGAACTTCAAAGCTCTACCAGCTACAAAGACAACTGGCTTGCAAGAATGAATTATAGTAGTGCTGAGAATGACATATGCATTATAAAGAGCTCATGGCACATAGAAAAGGACTACAGATATTTCAAAAATATCTCTCAGTGTACAGATGGTTCATATCAAAATCATCCCTGTGCAGGTGGTCACGCGCAAATGGAACATCAAGGAAATGAAACATACCATATAAGCCTATTTTTCTTCCAGTTTTTCAGACTATTCAAACCAGGAGTTCAATAATTTCATCGCATGCAAATCTGATCATAGTCAGCAGTAGAACACATCACTAACTCTGGCAGGAGATGGATAGATCGACCTATGGGCGAATTGTTGAAGAGGCCAAGGGTTTGATGAAGCAGATTTCGATGATCCTACCATACCAGTAGTTTCTCAACTTCCGGCGGCATGTATATAAGTCTTTTTGTTAGAGCACTTGCAAATAATACACATGTGCAAGATGTTCACAACCATATGGCAAATGAACTAGAAACACAATGGTAACAGAGAAAGGAGGAAACAAATAAGTGCGGAGCATGGCAATCATGTAGATTCAGGATCATAACAGGGCATGAAAGAAAAAAGGGAAACGGAAAGAGCACAGCAATCTATCCAATTGTGAGCCTGTCTTGTGCCTGTCCAGCCCAGAATGAAAGATGATAAGACACAATCTGTTCAGTCATAATCGTCCACTTCAGATTTGTTTAAAAGTGCATCTAATCTAATCATAAAACTTTCTATTATTCAAGCACGTGGAAGATTGCGCCACAAAATGGTTATTTCTTGGATGTTTATATGAATATAGACTGAAGTGAATAAGCAATATGTACTTCAGTAGATGTTATAGTTATAACCCAAAGGCCAGGTTTTGGAAAAAGAAGCTTCGCGGGAACAAGATGCTTCCTTGTCCAACCTAGTTTCAAGCAGGTTCAAAAAACTAGCAAGGAAGAATTCTAGTATTAACAATTGCACTAATTCTGCCACTTTGCGTCTACGCTAGTACAAGTAGCATTGACAAATGTTCTCAATTCCATGTTTGAAATGCCTATGGCCCGTGAGGTTTCATTAGAAAAGATAGCTCAGGTATGACAATGCTTGAATGGACATGGTGCCTTTTCCTCTTGCCTCCTAGTCGACCAGCTGCTAAGTGCTAACATGCATCCCAAAACATGTCTAATTCGCTAAAGCAAGAATATGCATAACAGGTCAGAAAATTAGATGCCAAAAGGTACTTCAGAATGGAACTCCAAAGCTCTGCCAGCTACAAAGACAACTGGCTTGCAAGAATGAATTATAGTGCTGAGAGTGACATATGCATTGTAAAGAGCTCATGACACATAGAAAAGGACTACAGATATTTCGAAAATATCTCTCAGCGCACAGACCGTTCATATCAAAATCATCCGTGTGCAGGTGGTCACGCGCAAATGGAACATCAAGGAAATGAAAACATACCATATAAGACTATTTTCTTCCAGGTTTTCAGACTATTCGAACCAGGAGTTCAATAATTTCATCGCATGCAAATCTGATCATAGTCAGCAGTAGAACGCATCACTAACTCTGGCAGGAGATGGATAGATCGGCCTATGAGCGAATTGTTGAAGAGGCCAAGGGTTTGATGAAGCAGACTGAGGAGTTTAAAGTGTGTTGGGTTTGGCTACTGCAAACGGAGCGGCTCATAATCTTGCAGGGATGGCTGCACTCATAAACTTTGTAAAACGTGGTTGCATGTACCTCCAGGGTCTATTTCGGACTTGGTTATCTAGGAGTTTGCCGAGCATGGTGAATAAATAAATGCAGCGATTTTTCCCTAAAATAAACTCTTGTGCACCAACAGAGCGGATGCACAACATTGTTATACAAGGCAAGAAAATGTATTGATGACCAAATCAAACTGTAGAATAATTAGTTTGCGTAAAACTATAGAATAATTGACAGCAGAGTGCACTTTATTCTACCCTCTCTTATGCAGTAGTAGTTGAACTTATCACCCTAACAGAGGGACTTATGATGAGTAATCTCCATTGGCGGCTAGCCCATTCTACTAGTACTATGTGGAGGAGCTACAAGTTTTAGACTCTGGTTCGCTGAACCCTTCTTCACAGAAACTTCAATGACCCAACTCTCTTTGTTAGATCACTTGCAAATGATGCATTTAGAAAGTATAATTAATCAATCATGAACCATGTGGCAAAATATTACATAGAATGAACAAAACACACCACAGTAGAAGAGAAAGGAGCAAACAAATAAGTATAGAGCATGACAATCATGTAGATTCAGGATAATTGTGAGCCTGTTGTGTGCCTCTCCAACCCAGAATGAAAGATGATAAGACACACTCTTTTCGGTCATAATCGTCCACTTCAGATATGTCCAGCTCTTTTGATTTTTCCAAAAAGTGCGTCTAATCTAATCATAAAATTTACTGTTATTCATGCACATGGAAGATTGCTGCACAAAATGGTTATTTTCTTGGATGTTTGTATGAATATAGACTAAAGTGAAAAATCAATGTGTACTTCACTCCATGTTTACAGTACATCTTATAACCCAAAGGCCAGGTTTGGAGGAAGGAACTTCGAGTGAACAAGATGATTCCTCCTTCAAGCTGGTTTCAAGCAGGTTGAAAAAGCTGGCACGGAAGAATTCGTGCTAAAGCAAGTAGCATTGACATGGGTTCTCAATTCCATGCTTGAACATGCCTATGGCCCATGCAGTTTCATTAGAAAAGATAGCTCACATATGAAGGTGTTTGAATGGACATGGTGTGTCTTCTCCTCTTACATCCTAGTCGACCAGCTGCTAACATGCATCATCCAACATGTCTTAACTCATTCGTGCTAAAGCAAAAGGTGCAGCACCAGTCAAGAAGATATTTCTGAATGGAACATGTGCAGCACCGGTCAAGAAGATATTTCTGAATGGAACTTCAAAGCTCCACCAGCTAGACAGAAAACTGGCTTGCAAGAATGAATTATTACGCTGAGAGTGACGCATGCATTTTAAAGGGCTCATATCACACATAAAAGGACTACAGATATTTCAAAAAAAATCTCTCGACGTATAACCGGTTCTTATCAAAATCATCCATGTGCAGGTGGCCACAAGCAAATGAAACATCGAGGAAATGAAAACAGACCATAAGAATTTTTTCTTCAAGTTTTCTAGAACATTCAAACCAGGTGTTCAATAATTTCATGGCATGAAAACCTGATCGCAGTCATCAGTAAAATGCATCACTTATTCTGGTGCGGTGGAAATGGATCGGATAGTGCTCTTCCCACTTCCGGTTTTCATATTTTCAAAACAAATACAAATGCGAATACGGATGTTATCGGATATGAATGCAGAGCGGATGTTACTCAAATACGGATACATGCCGAGTGTTTACTCAATTCAGAACGTGTACTACTAATAGCGACATGTTGGTTAAGGAAAATAATTCAATAGCTATGTGACACAAAATAATCAACTTGCAACATACAATAAGACATTGACAGATAGTTTTATGAATAAATACTACTCCCTCCGTAAAGAAATATAAGAGCATTTAAATAACTAAAGTAGTGACCTAAACACTCTTATATTTATTTACAGAGGGAGTACTTTAATGCATAACAATTTCCAAGTTTAACCGCAGAAAAGGTAAAATGTGACCACTTCTTAGGCATTTTATGCTGGACAATTGGCATATTAGAGCTAGAACTGCTACAATTAGCTCATGTAATTTTATTCGGCTACGGGTATATCCACTTCCATATCCATATCTGTGTCAAAATCTCATACTACTACCATATTTGTATTAGTATTTGTAATAAAATAGATCCGGATACCTTCCATTTACATTTTAATTCGGGTGCGGATATTTCAGATACGGATAGTCATTTTCCCGCATACGGATATCGGATATTTCGGATTATCCACTGCCACTTTCCAGCTTAGGTGCGCCAGGAGAGCGAATGTACACCATTGTTATACAGTGGAAGAATTGAAGACCAAATCACACTGTAACATAATTTGTTTGCGTAAGAAAAGCACAAAAGGAAACCTGCTAAACATAGGTCTACTAATTGCTTAGACTTCATCTGAAAATGTTTCTTTTTTACCAGAACTGTTTGGCAACTCTTCTAATACCCACCTCCTTAGAGCAGGATCTGTAAACATCATAAGAATGCTCGATCAGTCTTTTCTGTACAGTTAACTTGATTACTAGCTGTACCACTTCATTATAGAAGAAATATGGTGTAAGGTTCCACCAAACATAATTAAACAAACTATTTACAAACTTTAGATCTCAGACTCAGAGTAAACTCCATATTGAGTGCTAGAACGCAGATAACGACCATTGGCTTTGTTCAAGCTTTTAACCCTCCTTGTACGTTCTTGATAGTTGCCCTGAACAACACTCTTATACCAAACTTAATCCCCCCCCGGTACTTAGTATTATCAACCATCTCTATGGACTCCACAGTCCACACCCCTTGCAGATGCTACACAAGTAACTAAAGTCACTATTGACAAAGAAATTACTCGATGAACAGAAGCCAGCTGACTTGGTTACTGTCTTATTCGATGAGGCACCATCGCAGGGAATATTGCGACTATGGCTCAAGACAAACGATGGGATGAACAAAACCGGTCGATCGCATACATCAACAGACATGCCAAAAATTACCATCTCCCCTTTCTTTCAAGATAGCACCATAAACCAATGTATTTACAGCTTTACATCCAAGCAACTTACTAACTACGGTTTAAGCACATTAGCCGCATCATCATCATCTTGTTTTTCAGTTGAGCATTCTAAGCAGATGTGGAAAAAGAAGGAAGGGAAACAGCATTACCGCACTATGGTTTGGGGTGAGCGTGGGAGTCGGGGGAGGGCGCGGCAGAGGTGGCCGTGGAGCCGCTGCGAAGGTCGTCGATGATGCCGCCAAGCTCGCGCCGCGCAGACTCCCTCCCAAACATGAAGCCGTACCTGCAGAACAAGGGAGGTCGAAAACCTTAGGAACAATGATTTGGCTGGCTGGGGGGATACGGGAACCGGATCAGACTGCACGTTACCAGAAGGAGACGGCTGAGAAGACTCCGGCGGCAGCCACCGTCTGCAGGAGCGTCAGCTTCTTGGCCTGCATCTTCCGCTGGGATTTGGGGCTGGTGGGAGTTCTTCGTCAGCGGATAAGCAGCAGTGCGGAAAACCGTTGCTCAGACAGGCCTCGGCTAGCCCTGGCTTCGGGGGTTGGACCCTGGCCCGTACGTGTAGGCGGCAGCGGCGGCGGCGGAGGGAGTCGAAGGAGGAGAGGAAAGGAGAACCGGCGGCGCCTAGAGGAGAGAGAGGTGGAGGAGGGGGATCCGCTACAGCGCCGTGCGTTACGTTACGTGCAGGCCTCTGCCGTCCGATCGAATTCCAGATCTGGCTCTTCCACTTTCCCATTTTTAGGAAACCATAGCCCAAAAGAGAATAGAGAATTGACCGGTTAATCAACTGAAAACCGAATGAAGAACATGTCCACAAAACAGGACACCCAAGCAAACTGGCTACCCACAATTTTTTCGGAAAATAAAATGCCTACACACATCACCAAAGAGATAAACTTCGTCGAGGTTGCCAGTACGGTGTCATCGCTTCTCCCTGACCAACCGACTTCGACTTCACCGCAGACGACCAACCAACTCTTCCACTTTTACCTGCATGAATATTATGTTATCCTCACACTTCGTTTCTGTAGGGAAGATGAAAGGTGTGCTTCGACGGCGATGGATATCCAGCAAGTGGATGTGGAAGCGGCAAGGGAGAAACAAGAAGTAGTCGTGATGGAATTTTTCATGTAAATAATAAGAAGTGTAAAAGGTAGCTTAGGCTACGTGTAGCCGCTCTGGGTTGTGGATTGACAATTGGTCTAGTTTAGCTATTTGTTCCAACATTAAAATATTTTCATCAAAAGTTGGTTCCTAAAGACCTGACAAGAGCAATCTAAGGTGCCCAGCTGTACAAAGCATGTGTGGGGAAATTGTTATGCAATCGGTGTGTGTCGAAAACATACTTTACAGATTCATAAAAGGATTTAGAGTGTATAGGCATACCATGCATCTAACATGAAACAAAATTTAGATAATAAATTCAACTCATAACTTGGGGAATAAAAATAACAAATTCAACAATGGTATGCTATGTATGAAAAAACAGTTGTATGTTGGATACGAAAACACTATGTTAACGGGCCTAATTCGTAGCTCGATTCGCACTATTGTTCGTAACATGATTTGTCATTTTCATTTCTCAAACTGTGAGCTCGTTACCAAAATTTTGCGGCATAGTAGATGTTTATTGTTTCAATCTATTATGACTATGTCCAGAATTATCAATGCATTTTTCTTAGATTCTCAATTTATAGTGAAAAGGGTCAAAGCCCATACATTAAGTAGTACGACGATGGATTAGTGAGTGACGACAGCACATGACGATGTCGACTAGGTGGTGTTCTTTGAGTGCATGGGTTCGAGTTACAAGGATGAAAACTTTAGGTCCGACTTTCATTAATTAAACCTGGCAATGACATCGTTCACGCACCACTTCTTTGTTGAAGGCATTGCATAGAGCCTATTCATACCCCTCTTCACGGTGAAAACTCATGATTTGGCCTCAGTGGTTGGGTCAAACCACAGCGATGCTCATGTATCATTCCCTTCTTCGAGGTGTCGTTATTGGAGCACCTAACCCATTGCCCGGTGTTGCCATCATGGAAGGTTCTTGTTTGCTATAGTAGTCCAGTTGGTCATTATTTTTATCTTTTTAATAATTTGGTCATATGCATCCTCGATGTATTGACTAGCTCTTCAGATTATACTGATGCAGAGACCGCATGTGATTGGTATTCTCAATATTAATATAATCCCTTTGTCGGACCCTCAAGAAACACCCTTACATGAATTAAAAGGTACATCCAAGTACTTGGGATATTGAAGTCATTTTCCTCCTGTATCCACCCACGCCGGAGCATTGCGTGCAAAACTTGTTGCCGCCTCTAGGCCTCCGTATCAGTAGATCAAATTTGTTGAAATCCATGAGCTTGTAGAAGCCACCATTGGAAAGTCATCAATGTAGACAAGAAGATACTTGCAACCATGATCCATGTACCAAATATAATAGTCATCCCGGAGAAGAAAACACAAGAGAAGGTGTAAATAAGGCACTAGGTACGCCGTCAAAACTAAAGCTGGAGAGACGCACAACTGTGTCATCTGCTCTGTAAGACAGCGCCATCCGAGCCAAACTACCCAGAGAACCAGATTTGGGGACACACCACTCTCCACATGCCTTTCAACGATGCTAAGAAACACCGACAGAATGAGGACGAGATGAAGAAGACTTATTTCATGCTAACGGCGATGCTCACCACCTATGACTACAGACTGAAATCTACCCTAAAATCCTCATCCTACCACCATTGGTCTGAAACAGCGGGGGTGCCTGCGCCCCTTCCCTCACCTAAGCGGTGGGCGGAGGGAGAAGGGGTCATGATCCCACCGGGGAGGAGGTAGGTCGCCGCTGCCGCCGCCCTAGCTCCTAGGGTTTCACGGGAGCGAGGGATGCTATCTACTCCCTCCGTTCCTAAATACTTGTCTTTCTAGGCATTTTAACAAATGACTACATACGAAGTAAAATGAGTGAATCTACACTCTAAAATATGTCTACATACATCCGTATGTAGTAGTCATTTGAAATGTCTATCTCTACTACTATAAAATTCTCAGTTGGTGGTGATGGTGTGCCTGCCATCCATCAGTTTAGACCATCAGATCTTCATCCAACGTACATGAGGCAACCCACTTCAGCCGGGTGATTCTCTCCTCCCCCTGCTACAGTATAAAGGTGAAAAGGAAGCGACCGGGAGGCGACTTCAGTTCTTCCGCCGACGATCTCGTCGCTCCTCTTCGCCTCCGATGGCCGTCTGACCTCGTGAGGCGTGGGGGGAGCTCCAGCACTCCGCCTGCGTGTAGATACGGGTTGGTTGGGCGGCGCTCAGATGGTGGCGGCGCGTCGCGTCCAATAAAGCGGTCCTGGCTCCTACCCCATCTCGCCGGCGATGGCGAGGAGCCTATGGGCCTGTGTGGTCTGGCGGTTCTGCTGAGGCGACAGTTACACCATCGACTCTGGTATTTTTTCCTCTAGCCATGTCCCCGCCTCGATGGTTCACGCGCTAGAGCTGCCGACGGGGTGTGTGAGTAGTTGTACAGGTGATGTGGCGGTGATGGCCGCCTAAGATTTGGTTTGCGGCGACTTACAGAGGCGGCTGTTCTGGAGACCAGTTTGTAGCTAGCTGGACAGAGGATCTGGTGGCCCTTCTCGCCGGAGGAGATCCAGAGGCGGTGGAGCGCAGGGTGTGTCCTCCCCGATCGATGGCCTTCATCAGTTTGGTGCCTCCGTTCATGTTGACTTCTGTTCCGTATCACAACCCAGATTCTTGCCAGGCGCTTCTCCTGCTCACAAATGGATTCGTCCACGGTCATCTCGGTGGCGGCGGCCAGAGGCGTGCGGGCTCTCTTTGGGGCCTTCAGGGATGTGGTTCTATTCTTCTTTGTTTGGAGGTCCTTTCTTCAAGTTTTCAGCTGGTTCTGGTGTCTTCGCGTGACGGCGTGAGTGTGTACGTGTTTATTTTTTACTTTTGAGGGAAAAATGTCAGCGCACGCCATGAGCAAGCCAACAATAACAAATATTGGGAGGAGGAGTCCGGCTGCTGGATGCGCCATGCGTGTGCTGTTGTAAACTTGTAATGCGTTGAGAGGATTCACCATTGTCTTGCGTGGAGCAGGTTCTAGAGCTAAGGCGAAAGACACAACTTTTGGGAATGGGTCGTGTGCCTGGACTGCATGTATTGTAGGTTGTGTTATATGCTTTAAGGTACTTGTGTTTTTTTTTAAATCATGAAAATGGTTTAGAATGTTACAACATCAATTTTTCGGATGCGTGATTTACCATTGGCATTACATTTTTTCCATGGATGGCATGGTGCATCATATAATGCTCATACCTCATAGACAAGCATAGATGATCAGATGACTCGACATGAGCAGGTGGAGGAATGAGATAATGTGCTAACATGTTGAGCCCATCGACTTGAGCCGAAGGATAGTAGTCACCGTACTTCCATTGCGCATATTTGCGGGGACCACTATTGATATTTCTGCATTGTTGTTCTTCCATTATTGATACTAAAGTTAGGTACGCAGTATAACTGAGATGCTTAATGTGTCCTCTTTTCTAGCGGAGAATGGTGCAGACTGCAGGTGAAGCCCGTGCTAAGAAAAGAGGAGCCGAAGAGATAGATTGATTTGGACTCGGAAATAAAGTTGGTCGAGTATAATCATAATCACCAAATGAGTGTGGATGGATTTCTATTTGCCTCATGCTCTCTACCACTCAATATTAGGATAAAGTAAGCGTTGAGAAACCCGAGTAAGAAGAATACCAAGTCTTCTTGCAAGGTGAAAATGAAGGAGAAAATATTTGTCTTGGACTATGGGGTTATCGATTGGAAACCGTATATCGGTTGTGGGCCTATTAACAATATAAGGTCACTTTGATAAATGTCGAGTAAAGTAAAAAAAAATTGTTCCGTGGCGACGCACGGGTATCTTAATTATAACTTAATAAGTAAACAAATGTTCTATTGATCATTTCTTACCCCGTAGCATAGCATGGGCATCTTACTAGTAAAGACAAATATTTAGGAACGAAGGGAGTAGAATTGAGGTGCATGAAACCGCATTCACCTTGATCGTAGGTAGCGGCAATGGTGCATAACCAAATGCAATGACACCTTAATCGGTGGCGCACCAACCGTACGCCTTCGTGTCTCGCGGTATCTCTATAGTCTATACAACTCTCACTCGGTCAGCGTCCATCGAGTACACCTGCGGATGCAGCAGAGAAACTGTGCGAGTCCTCACTGATCCATCGAGTACATCTCGGTCACCTCTTGGGTGTCGCCGGAGCCGGAGGCGGGGCCGGCTCCATCCGCAGCACCCGCTCGAGCTCCTCCACGACCTCCGCCATGGCCGGCCGCTCCTTGGGGTTCTTGCCGAGGCAGCGGTCGGCCAGCCTCGCCGCGTCGCGCGCGGCGGCCAGCGGGTACCGCCCGCCCAGCCGCGGGTCCATGATGGTCCTGAAGCTGTCCCCTCCGGGCGGGTGCCGGCGCACCCACCCCAGCAGCTTCTGCTCCTCCGCCGGCCGGCTGCGCTCCACCGATCGCCGCCCCGTCAGGATCTCGTACAGCACCACCCCGAACCCCCACACGTCGCTCTTCACCGTGAGGTGCCCCGTCTCGATGTAGTCCGGCGCCGCGTAGCCGTGCGTGCCCACCACCGCCGTCGACACGTGCGTCCGCCCCTCCGTCGGGCCCTCCCGCGCCAGCCCGAAGTCCGACAGCTTCGGCCGGAACTCGCCGTCCAGCAGCACGTTCGACGCCTTGAAGTCCCTGTATATAACCTGCCACACTAAAACACCGCCGGATCAGCCTCGCCGGACCGGCTCAGACCCAAAGAACTCGACTGGCCGGCGCTCTCGACGGCGAAATTAACCTGGACTTCCGGGAGGCCGCGGTGGAGGTAGTCGAGGCCGCGCGCGGCGCCGGCCATGACCTGCAGCCTCGTCCTCCAGGGGAGCGGCGGGTGGGCTCGGCTGAAGAGGTGGTCGTCCAGGGTCTTGTTGGGCATGAACTCGTACACCAGCAGCCGGTGCTTGCCCGCCTCCGAGTCCACCGCGCAGTAGCCCACGAGCTTCACCAGGTTCGGGTGCTCCAGGACGCCCAGGAACTGCACCTCGGCAAGCCACTGCTTGTGCCCCTGGAATCATCATCACAAATCCCCATAAAAGATTAAAAGATGCATGGTTGATTATGCATGATTCATGAATGAATTCTACAGCAATTTAATACGAGTAGCGTTCACGTGGTGGTTGAGCGGTGCGAATTCTCATTGAAGGTGACATGAGTGGATGTCCTCGTCCCGGTGGATATGTTTATTGTTATGACTTATGTTAAGATTCTGAGTTCATCATGGAGCTCGGGATTTGTGGGAGCGATTCTCGAAGAATCTGCTAGCTTTCTGACCTGCAGGCTGCGCTGGTTGAGGCGCTTGACGGCGAGGACGACGCGGCCGCCGGCGGCGGAGCGGAAGAAGGCGCGGTAGACGGAGCCGAAGCCGCCCTCGCCGATCTTGAGCGCGCGGCTGAAGCCGTTGGTGGCGCTGCCGAGCTCCTCCAGCCCGAACACGCGCAGCCGCGCCGCGCCCCGCTCCTCCGACAGCTCCTGGATGCTCCTCGTCGGCGTCGACGCCGACGACGAGGACGCCTTGCTCCGCTTCGGCCCGTCCGGCTTCGGCTCCGCCGGAGGCTTGCCGCCGCCAGCCGGCCGCCGACGGCCCTTGCCGCTCTTGAAGGCGAAGCACCCCATCAATCCGCAGGGCTCTCACGGCAGGACGAGCTAGCTGTCCATGGAGGCGAAGCAGTCCAAGAAGAACAGGTTCAGAGGGAACCGAGGAAGCCCAAACCGAATTCCGGCACGGCGAAACGGAGGGAGACGAAGAGAAAGGAGGAGACTGAATCAAGAGCAAGCGGAATTAGGCAAGCGGGTGCGTGGAAACGCGCGGCATGGGACGGGAGACGCATCGACATATATAAAAACCGCCATGGATCATGCGGGGGAATCGAGACGAGATACGTACGTCGACGGTCAAACGACCCGGCCGCCCTCGTGGTGACGCCCTTGCCTGCGTTGGCGTGCGGTTGCGCCGCGAACGCAAAGATATATGCCCACACCGCCACGTCAGACACACACGGCTCCTGCTCAGCCGACTGTACGCAAAATTGGCAAATTTGACCTCGGAGCGAAACTATTTCACAAATTAAACTGTTTTTGAAAAAAAATCACACCGCTGATCCTTCTATGCATAGCCCGATAGCTAGGCGACGCAATCTACTGTGCAACTCCTTACAGCTAGGCGCTGCACAGGTGTAGCGCCTGAGTGTTACTAGTGTACAGTGCCTTGCTGTCAGGCGCTGCACATTAAAAGTCAGTTGGGAGAAATATTTTTAAAAACAGTTTAATTTGTGATATAGTTTCGTCTTGAGGTCAAATTTGTGTCTTTTACCCTGCTTGTACCAGCGCTTCTGCTAGTAGCCTAGTACTAGTATGTACTGTACATCAGCTGCTGCGTGGTCGTTTCTTTTTTTAAGCGAAATATGCAAGGGATCGGGCATGCATAAATAAAATTAGAGGCGGTGTCAACTAGAGAAAAAAAATTGAGGAATATTTTTTGCAACACTATATAACAAATACTCCCTCTGTAAACTAGTATAAGAGCGTTTAGATCAAATCTAGGCGTTTTTATATTGGTTTACGAAGGGAGTGCATTTTAATCTAGTGTCAAATGAGGAATTCCCTCTTACATATCTATACATGTTTGGGAGCTCCACTTAGATGAATGCCTCTTTGGTTGGTACTGTAGATTTTTATATTTTGTAGAAAATGGGTATGGCGTTTTATCAATCCCAGATGCTGAACCGTCGAGAACGCTGGTGCTACATACAGAGGATCAGGTATTTGTTTCCCTTATTTCCACCACTTCTGTTTTGA